AAAAAAAAAAAAAAAAAAAAATCTGCAGTGAGATATAGATACAGATATTGATATATCTTTATATCTAAGTATTTATCACTATTTCTGCCACTAAATGTTATGCACATATATTTTAATTTAATTGTGAAGATAAAATATTGATATTAAATGAAATCTAAGAGAATAAAACTACCTATAATTATAGGTCCTTACCCTTCCTCTGGTTCAAATATTTTATATATTCAATTTAATGAGTATGAAATTATATTTTCTTTTTTCACTAAAAATGATATCATAAATATTTTCATTACATAGCTTCATGATTATCTAGTAATGTACACAATGAATTAACTCAGACCTTTTCTCCTGCATAGGCTCCCAATGCCTTAATCTGGGTAATGGTTAAATATACAACTCTAAGAATATAGCATATTTTTTCTATCAAATTATTTCCTAAGGTTCATCCACAGACATGGGTTTATCAGCTCCAAGTGCAATTTCTCAGTTCCTTTATACATAATTGGCAAGCATTGGAATCAAGTGCTTTATAATTTTAAATAAGCAAAACTACTAATAATAGTTATGTTGCCCCTACTGAGCAAGTCAGAGTTTTAGACAAGTCATGGCAGACATCAAATACAATATCTGAAAGCAAAAGTGATAAAAAAAATAGTGAATTGGACTTCATCAAAATTTAAAACTTGTTTCAAAGACCACTGAGAAAGCAAAAAGCTTTGAAAATCATGTATATAGTAAGATATATCTAGAATATATAGACTTCCTACAACTCAGAAGTAAAAAGACAAATAGTTCAATTAAAAATGAGTAAAGAAGGGGCTGGGAATTTAGCTCAGTGGTTGCGCTGCCTGTCTCACAAGTGCAAGATCCTGAATTCCATCTCCAGTACAAAAAAAAAAAAAAAAAAAAAAAAAAAAAAAAGTAAAGAGGGTTGGGGATTTAGCTCAGTGGACCCAAGTTTGATCCCTGGTACCCCCCCCACCAAAAAAAGTATAAAGAAAGAGTAAAGAATTTAGACAGACATTTCCAGAGAAGATACATAAGTAGTCAATAAAGACATTTTTAAATGTTCAACCCCACCAGTAGAGAAATACAGTACAAAACAAAGCCGCAATGAAGCAGTACACAGTGGTACACACCTGTAATCCAAGCAAATTGTGAGGCTGAGGCAGGAGGATTGGGAATCTGAAGCCAGCCTGAGTAACTCAGCAAGATCCTGTCTCAAAATAAAAATTAAAAAAGGGTTGGGGATTTAGCTCAGTGGTGTGGCTGCTAGTGCCTGCCTTGCAAGTGCAAGGTCTTGAGTTAGATCCCTGGTACCAAAACAAAATTAAAAAACAGCAATAAATAAAAAAGGGATATGGATATAGCTCAGTGGTAGAGTACCTACCCAGCATGTATGAGGCCCTGCATTGAATCCCCAGTACCACTACACACAGAACAAAACAAAAAAAAAATGAGATACTGCTTTACACTCACCAGGATAGCTATGATCAGAATGACAGATAATAAGTGTAGGGGAGAATGTGAAGAAATTGGAGCCCTCACACAAATGATGTAACCATTTTGAAAAAACAGTCTGGCTATTCCTCAGAAAGTTCAATACAGAGTTGACCTAGGCACATATTGAAGAGAAGTAAAAACATGTCCACACAAGAACTTGTGGGCAGATGTACTCAGCTACCTCATCTTCTGGATATCAACCTGCCACAGATTAAAATTAGACCCTTATCTTTCACCATGCACTAAATTAAAATCCAAATGGATTAAAGATCTAAATATTAAAACAGAAACATTAAACTTGCTGGAAAGTAAGTTAGGAAGAACTCTGGAAGACATTGGTATAGGAAAAGACTTTATGAACAAATCCTCAATAGCACGGGAACTAGCAGAAAGAATCAACAACTGGGATCTCACCTTACTAAAAAGCTTCTGTACTTCAAAAGAAACCATTAGCAGAACTAAGAGACAATCTACAATGTGGGAAAAAACTTTAACCAGCTGTACCTCAGACAAAGGACTATTATCAAGGATATATAAAGAACTCAAAACAATCAGTCCCCCCAAACATAACGACCCGATCCAAAAATGGGCATCCGAAATGAACAGACATTTCTCATACAAAGAAGTGAAAGCAGCAAGAAAATATATGAAAAAATGTTCCACATCACTGGTCATTCGAGAGATGCAGATGAAAACAACACTGAGATTCCACCTCACCCCACAAAGAATGGCTGCTATCAAGAAATCACACAATAACAAATGTTGGCGGGGTTGTGGGGAGAAAGGAACCCTCCTCCATTGTTGGTGGGAGTTCAGACTAGTGCAACCACTATGGAAATCAATATGGAGATACCTCAAAGAGCTTGGACTGGAGGTTCCATTTGACCCAGCCATCCCTCTGTTGGGTATCTTTCCAAGAGAACTAAAAGAATCATATCACAGAGAAATATGTGCACCCATGTTTATAGCGGCACAATTTGTAATAGCTAAATCTTGGAAACAACCTATTTGCCCATCCGTTGGAAACTGGATAAAGAAGTTGTGGTTTTTCTATAAAATGGAATATTACTCAGCCATAAAGAACGAGAGAATAGATTCATTCATAGGAAAATGGATACATATTGAAGATATACTCCTAAGTGAAATAAATAAGTCCCACATGTGTAAATACCAAATAGTTTCCCTGGTGTGAATATTCTGCAACAATGCATAAGATTCTAATAAGATTACTGACATTTAGAAATGGGAGGAAAGGAGCTAAAGGTGTAGGGAAGGTGTGATACGTAGGGGAAGAACAAAAAGGGAAAAGAAAAAAATGTGAGAGAATGAAAAGATGAAAATAAAGTGTTTGTAGATGGGGAGGGGAGGAGGGGGTGAAGGGAGGGCAGAGGTAAGGGGAAAAAAATGAGAATCAAGACTTGCCATGTAAAGGTACATGATCCCAACAATGAATGTAACTGTACTGTATCCCTAAATGTACCAATAAACTCAATAAAAAAAAAAAAAGAACTTGTGGGCAAATATTTATAGTATTATTATAATAACAGTCAAAAGTAGAAACAAAT